TGACAAAAAAAAAAAAAAAAAAAAAAAAGAACAGGAAAAGGACTTAAGCTTCTAAAAGAGGGAAAACAAAATTGGATAAAAAAAAAAGGAAAGGAGGATGAGCGCTATGAAATCACACCCCACACAAAAATGGCATAATAAGAAATTTCAAAGTTACAAGTTTCTCAAATTTACCTCCTTGTTTCGTTTGTGAAAATTTGGCTTCATCTTCGCTACTGCAGACCACTAACTGTGGTGGCCAAAGAAAAAAAACAATTGAGTGCGATTCAGTACATAAATAAAACAAGTCAGGCAAATTAATCCCACAAATCTTTTGTCCTTTTTCGGGAAAGAATTAAAAAAAAGGGAAAACAAAGAGTAAAATACTGTCCTGGTTGTTCAGCAACTGTTTGCTCTGAGAACTTGTCATCACAATGGAACGGCATGCTCGCAATCACAGAGTCACAGGACTTTCTGCGACGTATTTTGTCTCCGTGTATTTCCTGAATGACAGATCACAATCACCGATGATGGCAAAAAAAACGAAAAAAAAAAAAAAAAAAAAAAAAAAAAAACAGGCCAGAGCCAAACAGGAGGCAGGGAGGATCAAGAGTCAAGACCAACCAAGCATCTAGCTTCCTGACTCACATGTGACAGTGTGACACTGTGTGACACTGTGTGACACTGTGTGACACTGCCACACTGAGACTGTGCAACACAGTGTGACCACAGTGGGACACATTGGGACACTGGAAGCACATTGGGAGAGACCACATGACCACATCTTACAATGTAGCACTGTGTGACACTGTGTGACACTGTGTGACACTGTGTGACACTGTGTGACACTGACAATGTAACGCTGTGTAAGGTTGCGTGACACCGTGACACTGGTGACACTGTCATACTGAGCACCAGGGTTACCCGTCTGAACGTGAAGGGGCTGAACTTTCCAGCGTTCAACCCCACCAAAAATCATTTCAGGGCCTAAAATTTAAAAATATATATATATATCGTCAAATAGAACTGCCCGGTAAACCGTAGGCAGAGAGGGAGAAGAGGACAACAAACGAGGGGCTGTGACAAACTGTTTCGTCGGAGTTTCACCGACT